ACAAACAAAAAATATTAGTTATTGAATGTCATTTAGTAGTATCAGTTAAGTCAATGGGCCTTACAATAGGGAAACTTTTTTTTTTTTTTTTTTTTGAAAAACCAATTATTGATTTTTTTTATCAATCATAAAAATAAGTAATAATAATACTATTAGTAAATACCTCCACTACTATAGCTAATAATAATAATAATAATATAATTTGAATAAACAAACTAACAAATAGAGATTATATTCAATTTATTTTTGTTTTGTTTGTAAAATTGTTTTGTTGTTATATTGTTATAGTATTAGTATTATTATAATAGATGTTTGTATAATAAATAAATATAATAATAATAATGTTATTTAATTTTTGTTTTCAATGCCAACATATCGTTGAAAAAATATAAGTTATATAAATCGTTTTTATAAAAATAAGTATAACATATATTATAATTTAATATATTGTATAATACAATACAAACAACTAAAATGTAATCAATCTCTCTCTCTCTCTCTCTCTCTCTCTCTCTAATAAAAAATAAAGTTTACATATAATTGAATTAAACAAAAAAATATATATACAATATTTTACTATAATATTACTGCATATATCTATCATTTAGATGATTCATATATATATATTTATATAGTGTAAATACAGGTATAATATACAGTATATACAGTATTATATATATATAATCTTAAATTTAGTTGAAATAGTTATTTCCAACAACAAAAAATTGTGTTTAAAAAGTTTTTTATATGTATTTTTTTTATTTAGTTGTAAATAATAATATATTTTATGGTTATTATTATTATTACTACTATTACTATTACTGTCCTTCAATTGTATAGTTAGTGATAGGTATGCAATTGCCAACTGTTTTTTATATTATTATAAATAAATTTTCTATTCAAACACATTTTAGATACAGTAGTATCTAATGGTTGTCTTAGAAAAAGAGATATCTATACAATAGACATACCGGTGCTGCTGCTGCTACCGCTACTGTAGAGCACCTGTAGGTCGACTGGTATGTGTGTGTGTGTGTGTGTGTATGTGTGTGTTGTTACACATGACTGAGGATATGGATGTCTGGACTAATCACCGGCAGATTTAAGAGGACATGAGGTGTACAATCACTCATGAAGTTCCGGTCTTTTCAAAATGTTTGCTAAAATTTTTTTTTTTTGAGAAACAATTTTTATTGTTTCGGTTTTTACTTAAAGAAAAAGTTTTTTTTCAAATATATTTTATCTGTAAATATATACATAAAAAAACTTATGTTTTGTTTTTTATGTATCTTTCAATATATATTTTTAAAACTTTCAATAGTATATATATATTGTATAATATAAATATATATAATTAATTTTGATTTATATTTTGTTGTTGTTTGTTTTTTTTTAGGTAAAAGTTATTATAACATAAGTTTGGACTATATTTTTTTTTAAAAAAAAGTTAGCAATTTGTTATAATTTAAAAATAGTATGAAAATTAATGCCCTTTAATAAGTGATTCATTCAATTTGTTAATGTGTTTATATTAATTAATGAGTTATTTTTTTTTTAAAAAAAAAGATCACATTAAGATAGTAAACTTTAAAAAATTATATATTAAACTATTATTGAACTTACATTTATATATATATATATTATAATTATTTATTATCATTGCTATTAATGCATTTAATGACACAAATATACTTATTTGATATATAATAACATATTAATAAAAATAATTTAAAGTTTATTACTATCGATACTAACTGTTAGTAACTAACATAACATATAAATTTATTATATATATTATATTAGTTTATACAGTATAGTTGAAATAGAAAAGTTATATTATTATTATTATCTAAATGAAAATGTATATAAATTTATTATCAAATGTATATATAATAATAATAACAAACTAACTAACAATTATACAGCTATTTATAAAAACGAAACAAAATAAGAAATAAATATATTTAAAATAAAAACAATTTTGTTGTGCGGTTTTGTCTATGAAATTAACAACAAAATTGAAGTTTTTGATTAGTTAAATGATTGTTTTAATAAAAAATAAATAAAAAAAATATTTGACGAGAGAGAGACACTCAACATATTTAGGCCAAACATAAATTTATTATTACATCAAATATATATAATATATAAATAAATACATTAAAATACTTTATTTTGTTGTTATTATTATTAAACTAAATGCTTATTATTATTATTATTATTACTAAAAGTATTATAAAATAATAATAATAATAATACTTTAAATGGTAACCAGTTATTGAATATATATACTATTATACTTTAAAAAAACTTATATAATATTATATAAATACTTGAATTTTTATTTTATTTTTATTTATGTTTTGTTTTTTTCTCACATTTCAATGCCCACTATCAGCGATAATATAACTGTCATCTGGGCTTCAATTATAAGCTATTATTATTATTAAGTATTAGTATTATTACTTTATTTTGTTTAATAAAAAAATAAATTTTAAAAAATAATATGTTTGCTCTCAAATAAAGTTTTTAAAAAAACTAGAATTTAAACTAGAATTATATAATATTTCATTTATTTATTATATATTTTTTTGTTAAAAAAAGATTGAATGATATAATATTTAAATAGTTGATTAAGTTTTGTTATGTAAATTATATACAGTATATATACGTTATATATATAAATTATATACCGTTTATCTAAAACATATATTAAATAGTTTTTTTCTTGTATTAAAACACACAAACATAATATTGATGTCATTTATTTGTGTTACAAATTATGGTAAAAATTAAGTGAAAAAAATAACACAAACAAACTTTTTTTAGATCCTTATGTTATAAATACATAAATCATTGGACATACATATTATATAATAATAATATTTATTTATTTTTTAAAATTTGATAAAGAAAATTTAATTGCACTATTTTATTTAATATTATCAAAAAAAATTTTTAAATATTTATTTCATTTAATTAGTTTTAATTATAATTATAATAAATGAGTTTTACATAGAAACAAAAAATTTATTCATTATACACAATAGTTTTATATATATATATAATTAAATATAAATATTACTGGTATTATAATTTAATAATTTTAATTTATATATATATATATAAATTTTTAAATTTTATTTTTCTATAAAAAAATGTCATATATATATTTATGTTGTCATACAATAATTATTATTTCACTATTTTTTTTGTTGGTATCAATTATAACCATACATTTATGTATATTAAATACAATAAATATATACAATATTTTAATATATAATAGATTTTTTTGTTTATTATATAATCATATCAAATATTTTTTTGTGTTTATAATTCATTTTKAAAAAATGCATAATTGTTTTAATACAATAGTAGTCACATATAACTTATATATATATATATATATCTAATTGCAATATATTATTATTATTTTTATGTAATTTATAGTTTAAATTTTCAATCAATTAATCAATTGATGATAAATCTCAAAATTGATTTTCCCAATCAATGAGATATTATTTTATTTATTTATTTTTTTGTCAAATGATATGTCAATTATATTCTTGGTTGTTGTAATAATAATAATTACAAAATATTTCATTACAAAAATTATTATTATTATTAAAATAGTTTATTGTTTGATAAATTTGTTTAATCAAAACTAAAAACTTAATATAACTTTCTCAACAAAAATTAGCTAGCTATATTTTCTAATAATAATAATAATAATCAATTTATTTTTACTTAAATAATTACAAATCTCTACTGAATATTTGTGACCAATATATTTGTTTTGATAATTACATGTTTACACACAAAAAATATATATTTATATTTAACTAATTAATTAATTAATTAGTACTCAAAAAACATAGGATACAATGTTTTTGTTGTTATATWTATATGTAAATGTCGACAAAAATAAAAATACTAAATAATAATATATTGTAATGTAATACATAGACAAAAATTATTTTGTTTTTTTGTGTATCAATTTTTTTGTTGTATTTCTCTCTCTCTCTCTCTCTCTCTCTCTCTCTCTCTCTCTCTCTCTCTCTCTCTCTTAAATATTCTTCAATGATTGCAATCGTTTGACACATATATGTCTTGTTTTTGTTGTTGTAAAAAATCAATGTTATCTACTATTCAATTATATATATATATTGAATATATATAATAATTTATAATAACTTATTGAAGACAACCATTTGGTCGGTACGGTAGGTGCAGACCAGTTGTGGCACTTTTATATCAGTATACACTATATATATATGTTGTCAAACATATTGTGTGTATATATATTATGTATATATATTTTTTGTTTGTTACTATTATTAATATTAATGACATATTTATAGGTAAACTATTTTATTGTCAAAAATATGTTGTACTTAAATAACAATAACAACAATAAAAATAAAAAATTGTTGTTATTTTTTGTTATGTTTTGTTTTGTTATGTTTTGTTTGTCTGCAAAAATTTATTATCAATTTATATCATCATCAATGAATAGTATTAGTATTATTATAATAATAATTAATGTTTTTAAGGATGTTTTTTGTTGTTGTTTTGTTTTATATTATAATATATATTTAATAATAAATTTTTAATAATAAATATATATATATATTATAAATAATTATATGTTTTGATAAACTCCACAAAAAAATAATACGAAAAAATCTCAATTTAACACTACTTTAGATAATATTTATAATAATAATATTATTATTAAAATTATGTTATTTTTCTAAAATATTAATATAATTAGCTGTTTATCTGTAAATATTAACTATTGTATTAACTCTACTTAAAAAAAAAYWTTTTTTTTACTACCACTCCTATGGACAACAATTATTATCATTATTTTTAACAGTATATACATTATTAAATATCATATTATTATTTATAAAATTATATATATATATATATATACTGTATATAAATATTTCTACTAATTTATCATATATATATATATATAAATTGTTAGCCCAGTTATTATGTGGTGATGACTGATCACATCATTATCTATCTATTAATATCTAACTATCTATCTATCTGTCTATCCATCACTAACTAACTCAGAGACCGCAACAAAATCTGCGCCAACCCTTTCGTAGCCGACTTTTATTATTAGATATATCTATCATAACATTGGAATGTTGGCCATAAAACGGCTGTCCCTGTTGTCTATGAATAAGTGACGGGTGCTGATGGTGCTGCTGATGATGATGATAGTTGATATCATTATTGTGTACATCACCACCACTTGTTGTCTCGATGTCATCCATATCTGAATAGGGTTTCGGTGGCAACGATTGATCGCTACTACTATAGCTACTGGAGTTTGTTGTCGACGATAGCGAACAACAGGTACTACCGCTATCTGTATGACTACTACTACTGTGACACTGATGATGATGATTGTGATGATTATGGCGTGGATGATGATGATGATCATGATTAGGACAGCCATTGATGGTCAGGTGATGGTCATCATCACTATCACCACCACTACTTCCGCCAACTTTTAGCCACTTCAAGCTCTTAGCCTTTCCCCAACTGACCAGAATTGATGGGCTCTTCGTTGTCATTGACTGTTGTTTTGACTTTTTTTGTCGCAATTGTTGCTCGTATTCAATGCCCGCCAGTATTGATGTGTCAAAAACATCCTAAATATTAATATTTGAAAATTAATTAATTTAATTAATTAGTTTAATAAAATTATTAATTTTTATCTATTTAATTAATTAATTATTATTTATTTTTTTAAAAAAAATGTGTGACATTTATCATAAATTAGATATTAATTTTCCTTTTTTTTTATTTTAAGATAAAATTGCGGTTTTAATAATAATTTAATTTATGTGTGTTATTACTAATTAAATTATTAGTTTTGTTTTTTTTAATAAATAAGTAAATTATATATGAATTGAGTACAATAATAATTAAAAAAAATTAAAAAGAGTTAAGTGATTAATTAGTATGTAAATTGAATTTTTAGTTTTTAATAGAAATTTATTTTTAGAAAAATCTCAAAAAAATATTTGTATATATATGCAGTAAATACAATATTTTAATTTTATTATGGTAATTTACATAAATTTTATTAGTTTAACAATAGGTTGTAAATTATAGTTTAGACGAGATTTGTAACACTTTGTTAAACTACTTGTAATTAAATTTATTGTTAAATACTATATATATATTTTTAACAACTAATTAATTAACTGTTAGACATCACAAGCAGTTTAAAATAGTTTAAAATATATTTTTAAGACTATTATTATTAATTTTATTTATTATTATTATTATTATTATTATTTGTTAACCCAGTTATTAAATGACATTAATTATATTTTTAAAAAGTCATTCATATTATGTACTTATTAAATGTAACAAATAAAATGTTTAACTTAAAAAAATAGTAGTTAATAATTATAAATTGATTACCGGTAATAATTTATTAAAGAGAGTTATAAATAAATAAATATACAGATATTTATGGCTAATTTTTTTGTAAATAATTTTCAAAATAATAAATGAGTTTTAAATATTAAAAACAAAATTAAAGTCATCGTAAATATTATTTAAATTATATACAGTATAAAAATATAGAGAAAATCTATGGGAAGGGAAATAACRTTTAATATATATATATATATATATATATATTTTATATTTCATTCAAACATTTTTTGGAAAATATTATATACAGGTATACTGTACTGTAATTATCAATATATTAATTTTAAAATATAACTTTAGTTTTTATTTAAAAAATATAAATAACTTTTTCTCTAAATGTCTAAAACAATTTATTTATTTCAATATGGATTTAGAGGTTTTCAATTTAAATTAATTAATCAAAAAAAAATAATAATTAATTAACACCAAAATTAATGTTATTTTAAGATTTTTTTTGAGCGAAAATTTTCTAGATTTTTTATACTTACGGTAATTTAGTATTTAATATTTTTAAAAAAAAATTAAACTTTATTTTATCAATTTGTAACCACAAAAAATAATACACATTAAATACAGTATTAACTAACTGTATGTTTAATATTAATTTTCTGATAAATTTCAATTTAATAAATTAATTTTTTTATAAAAAAAACTTACGCAATATTCCCATCACCTAAAGGGTTGGTAAATAATTAGAGCACAGGGATTCCCCTCCTCCCCCCAAAAATATATATATATTACTTATATTAATATATCATCATTATTATTACTAATATTATTTTTTTATATTATTAATAACCCTTATATTTAAAAAAACTAATATTTTTGTTTTTGTTTCTACAGTAAGTGTTTTTTATATCTTTGAACTATATATTTTATTTTATTGAATAGTCATTTAGCATATAATTTAAATATAATTATTTTTTAATAATAATAATAATAATAATAATATAGATCAATAGTATATCTATAGTAGTAATAGAAAAACTAAATTTTTATTAACTGTTAATTATTTATAAATATATATTTTTAAACGATTATTATTATTATTGGCAATGTTACAGTAAATTGCATTTAACTATTAAAAAAATATATATTCATTGAATATATATATATATATWTTTTTTTTAAATCAAATTTGTTGTTGACATTTGGCTTTTATGGTTGTATGCATTTATATAAATATATATATATATATATCTGATATATTGATTGCCAATTTAAACACACAAACAAAGTGTTTACACATTATAATTATTGTACAAATATATAGTGTGTAATACATATTAAAAGTTTTTGTAGGTTAAAGAGTATTGGATTTTATTTTGTACTTAATATATATATATATATATAAAGTAGTGAAAATGTGTGCTATTTTATATATATATATTAATATATCAATAACATTGATATCAATGTTATAAAAATATACAGAATATATATATATATATAATTAATAACACAAATATACAAAAAACTATTTATATAAAGAGTTAACAACAAAAAAATTGAAAATATTTTTTTTGTGTGTTTTATTTGAGACAAACCTTTAAGTTTTTCTGTGTCAGAGCCGAGCACTCGATATACTTGACGGCACCGATTTTGTTGGCCAATCTCTGGGCCATTTCACCGCTAACCGGCTGTTCCCTGGCCTGGGCCAGCTCTATAAGCACTTTGACGTCGTGCCGTAGATCGCATTGAGTACCGACCAGTATTACGGGTGGCTTACTATTGCCGTAGCGTTTGATTTCGGGTAACCATTTTTCTTGTATATTATGAAAACTGGTCGGACAGACCACACTGAARCATAGGAGGAAAACATTGGTCTGCGGATAGCACAGGGGTCTCAATGTGTCGAAGTCGTCCTATTAAAAAAAAATCAAATCAAATATAAATTTATTAGTTTTTTTAWAAAACAACAATACATAAGACAAAAAAATTATCATTTTTATTATTTTATAATTATTATTAAATGATGCTATTGTTTCRTATACTTTATGTKTGTGTATATATATATAAATATATTGTATGCTAAGTGTAATCAATTTTCATTGAGAGTTAGTTGTGTTAGTCTCTCTCTCTCTCTCTCTCTCTCTCTCTCTCTCTCTCTCTCTCTCTCTCTCTCTATTTGTGTAAAGAGTGATACAGTTCCTCCCTATCCCTACTGAGAGTATTTAAAAACCCCAATATCCAGGAAATTGCTATTTTTGATGTCGACTTATCTAAACATTTACATCACTCATATGGTGTGTATATGTGTTTCCCAGTGCACACACACACACACACACATAGATACACGTCTAATACCTTTACATTTGTTGTATATTTATATTGTATATAAATTTATACATATCATCCCTATATATATATTGTATATATGATGTATGGCTACGGATATTATTGTTGTCATGTAATGTGTTATATCTAATGATTATAAGTGTGTGTGTGTTATGAATGTGTTATGAAAAACAAACAACAAATTTAATATACAATAGTTTTTGGGTGAATAATRTAATAGATTGTATATTAAATTATAAATATATAATAGTTTTTTATGTTTGTTTTTTTTGTAACATTCCTTGTATACTAATATTAATATTAATATTATTTAGTTATTATGTTAAATACAAAAAATAAAATAAAATATACATTAATTCAGTTGAATGTGAATACTAAATAAAAAATAAATACATATATTTGGTTAAAATATCTATTATTATTATTATTATAACAAAATATTTGTTGTTGTTGTAGATATGCTTAATTTTTTTTTAAWAATAATAATAAAATTAAAATWWRAAAAATGTTTAGATATGATGTTTCCTCAATTCATACAAAACAATATTATTATTATTAAAATATTTAATTTTATTAAACAACAATTGCCTCATTTGCTTTACAAAATGATTATTATTATTACTATATTATTGTAATAGTTATTATAATTATAATAGTATTATAATATATGAAATATTTTCGTAGTGTTTAATTTATTTGTATTTTATTATTCATTTTTATTAATATATTATATATTAGCCGACATTTATCTAATAAATAATAGATATATTTTTTGTTGTTCCTATAGTATACAATTAATAAATAAATATATAAATAATGATAATAATAAACGATTTGATTAATTACTAAATTAGAAAAAACAAAAAAAAACAATTTTTATGGACATATTGTTGTTGTTTTTTTTCTCACTAAAAAATTACTATATTTTATCAATAGTTTTTAAGTTGTTTAGGATATTGATTGAACAAAATACAAAATAATACACACACAAAATTAATAATAATAATAAAATATATTAATTCATAACATAAATACCTGGGAATTAATATACTGTATAAAGTATGTCATTATTAATACATAATAGATAATAATTTTTTATTTATGAAATAAATTATTATTAATAAATATTTAGATTATTTTTAAAATGTTTTCGCAATGTTTTTGTGTAAAATAAATTGAGTAAAACATAAAAACAAAAAAAAAACAAGATTTTTTTGTTGGCTATTATTGTTTGAAATTTTTTTTTTTTATTTATTTTATTATTATTTATATATATATTTTTATCATAAGTCTTAAAAGCTTAAGAAAAATTTTAAGACTACTAATACTATACTCCTTAACAGTTCACTAGACATTAGTGAGTGAGAGAGAGAGAGAGAGAGAGAGAGAGAGAGAGAGAGAGAGAGAGAGAGAGAGAGAGAGAGAGAGAGAGAGAGGTAATGAAAAGGTTAACTAAAGTTTTTGGTTTCACTTTTTTTTCTCACACAACAACATAATAACAACAACACAATCGAGAATTTTATGGATAGTATTATATGTTTTTATTTTATTTTATTTTTTTTGAGTCGTCCATTAGTCTGTCATAAACCCGGAGCCTGAATACTGTGAGCTACAGGTGCATCAAACCTGGCTTTCACTTTAGTCACCATAATATCCAGGGACTCATAGTATGAGTCTCATACCTACAGTATACATGTGTTTCAAGGGCTGAGAGAGAGAGAACCCCCCGATATAGACATAAGTATACATTCATTGCACTCATTAAAAGGTCATCCCTAGGATTTTTACAATAATTTTTTTTTAAATTTTATTATTAATATTAATCTTGATTTTTATGACTATTTTGTTGTTGTTTGAAATAAATACATATTAATATACACTGTGTCTGTAACTATATATATATATATATATATATAAATTATATTGCATTTTGGCACATGAAATATCAATTATAAAATATCTCTCAAATATTATACAAGTATATTATACCCCCACCCCTAATGGTTTGTACAGTACTTTATATATTTAAATATATGCCCACTATTTTTTGTGTTAATAATAATTTTATTATTATTATTATTTCTCTTTAAATTAAATTATCAATTTTTTTAATTAAAAAAATTAAGTTAATTAAACTATTAAAAGTAATAGTAATTTGTAAATAATTTAATTTATAAAGTAATAAATTTTGTTTATATATATACATACAGTATATGCGTGTGTGTGTGTGTGTGTGTTGAAAATTGCATGATTTTGTCTAATAATAATTAAACTATTTAAGTTATATTAAATTAGTTTTCGCAAAAAGCATATATACAGTAGATTTATAAATAAATACTTAACATATATATAAACACTTGAATAGACTATTAGTAATATTAGTATTCAAATATATTTATATATATAAAAAGCAATGAAACGCAAACAATAGACACTCAATAAGTTTGTATATATACAGTATATACTGCATCAGGGTTAAGCAAGGTTTTGGATTTTTAGTAAAATTTACAAAATTCTCAAAAAAAATATTTTTATTGCATATATATATAAAAATTCCTTAAGTTCCCGAATATTCCCATGTAAATTCAATAAAATTCCCACAAGTTCCCGTATAAATTCCCGGGAAAATAGGTAAAATTTCCAAAAATATAAAAAAAAACTAAAAAAACTTAAAAATTAACAAAAATTTAAATTTTAACAAAAAATATTTTTAAAAAAATTTTTTTAAAATTAATAAAAACTTAAATTTTAACAAAAAAAATAAAATAATGTATTTAAGATTTAAAAATAGTTGATAAAAGCATTAATGATACACTATGAGTTATTTTTAGTATTTTAATAATTTTTAACTTTTAACATAATTAATTTTTTAAACAATACTTAATGTTTATAGTTTGTTATATATTTTTATTTTTATACAAATACTGACTGAATACTACTTATTTAACTCAAATTTCGTTAAAGTTTAATTATATTAAGTACAAAATTGAAAATATTTTTAAATTTTTTATTTAAAATTTAAAAATTATTAATAAAAACATAAGTATTTATTGTTTTATTAACTTCTTAAACTTATATTTAAATTGTAATATGATTATATATATATATATATATATATATTTTAACTATTTTTAATCAATAATTAGATTTTTATAAATATTAAAAACATAAAAACACTTACTAAAATAGTATCAACTAAAATTAAAATTTTTATAAATTTCAAAAAAATTTTCGGCGCCTTCGGCGCCGAAATTTTAGGGGGGGGGTCAGATTCTCCTCGTTTTTAAGCGACAATTTTTTCAACAAAGTCTGGGGGGGGTAAAATCCCAATTTCTCGATCTTAGGGGGGTATTTTGGCCCTGATACTGTATATATAAAGCCCTCCGGCAATGGTTGGACTGGGAATTGAGAAAAAGAGAGATTGAAGAGAGAGAGAGAGAGAGAGAGAGAGAGAGAGAGAGAGAGAGAGAGAGAGAGAGAAAGAAAGAAAGAGAGAATCTCTCAATTTTCTCACAGATTTTCTCTATTAAAGACAACATATGCTATGGGTTTTAAGTCCAATGTTTATTGTTTCTTAAAATATTACTATATATATATCATAAATACAGTACAATATATATATATACTGTACTATATTTGGCAATATTTTTATTATTACTATTATTAAGAGATGTGACAAATAATTTTTGCAGAGAAATAACAATAATAATAATAATTGTGTCCAATTGAAATTGAATTCAATTCAATAAAATGTGTCATTGAAATACACATTTACTTAACTATCGTTTAAATTTAATCTATATTATAAGGAAACCCCATTAATAATAGTGTGTTATATTTTGTACCTAAAAATCAAATTGTTGAGAGAGAGAGAGAGAGAGAGAGAGARAGAGAGAGAGAGAGAGAGARAGAGAGAGAGAGAGAGAGAGAGAGAGAATATTTATAAAGACAATAAAAATAGTAATAATAATAATAATAATAAAACTATTAAATTTGTCGGCACCTAACTTAGCGCACACACATACCACTTGAGTAATATATATATATATATATATATATATATATATATATATACGGTATATAAGTAATATTAGTAATAAAAAAATACTGAATTATTAGGTTATTATTTATAAGGCTATAAAAAAATAAAAACAAAGACATCATCCAAACGGACACATCAACAGAAAAAATATTATTATACAATATTAGTCGAAATTTTTATAAAAAATTTAGTTTGAAAACCCTTTAATATATATCCAATTACAATGTAATGACAAGATTTGTTGGATACCCCCCCCCATCAAAAAAAAAACAACAACACTTGAATGGGTTTAGAGATAAAAGGTATGACTCATACCTATCAGTATTTAAGGGGAGTGTCAGGTGAGTGATAGGGAAGAGAAAGAAAGAGAGAGAAAGAGTTTATAAAATTTCAAAAATAATTTTTATTTTATGAAACTAAAGGATACATTCATCTATAATAACTATTACTACTAACAAAATAAAAACTTTATATTTATATGCCCTTAGGGTTACATTTTGTTAAAAATACATGTTTTATCATAAA